CAGCAGCTCCCGCAACAACACCAGGGGACCTCCGGGCGACGTTTGGGTCTACGTCAACCCTAAAAGCGGAGGTGCTGTAGACGCTAAATACCGTAGCTAGGAGCAGAGTCCTGCACGGGTCTGATTTTCAAGACCCGCTCCCGCCCCGCACCCGCGACGTGCAATACCGAACCCGCCCCGCTACCCGCACATATTGCCAATTAGTTCCGCAACCCGACCCGACCCGCCGGCACAAGATCCGCAACCCGACCCGAACCCGCATATATGAGCAGTGAAAACGTGCAATTATTAACACACGCAGTTGGATATTTGTCTCAAAAAGCGTGGGATGTTGGTTATTTTCTCCATGACACCAAAAGCCTCCCAGAAGTTGGATTTCGCTCTTGAGGTAGTGTTATTGAAAATGCTGTATTCTCCGCTAGAGAGCTTCACCTCAGCCATTTCGAATGTGGCGCGCTCAGCAGCAAATTGATGCGCTGCAGAGGTTATGATTATGCGCGGTCCCGCGAGGGAGAGGTCTGGGGATTTAAACATTAAACTAAATTATTATTATTATAATATATTTATTATGCAACACCCGCGACCCGACCCGCATCATCTTTGTTTTACCCAGAACCGAACCCGGAAAAAAGCGTTTGAAAAAATACCACTCGCGAATCACTTTTTTTGCGGGTCACTCGTCGGGTACCCGACCCGATGCAGGGCTCTGCCGTGGGTCCACATTTCCGATAAAACTTCATATCGGAAGCAAATCTGGATCAGCTCCGTTGTACCCCCGTTTTAAGAGATTTGGGTACGGAGGAAAAGAGAGAGGGTTTTGTTGTCTGACACTGCGTGAGTTCCCTGACATACCGGGGACACATATTGATGTATAAAAGACATCAAAAAGTGCATTTTGCATGATCGGAGACCTTTATGGTAATATCAAAATGACGTTATCAGACATCCAAACATTGCACAGTGCTCACGTCAGAACTGAGAACATCCGTACATCAGAAAGAATGCATGAGGTTCCCCCCATGATCATCTGCTGTGTGTTACCTGGTGTTTCTGCTGAGCGAGCTGGGAAAGCTCCATGTCGGGACTCGGTGATCCGCTCAGCTGGCCGCGGAGGAGAGTGTCCGTTGATTCCTTTTGTTTATTGCGACACAAACAAACCAGAAAGAAGAGGCAAGCGATGACCAATGGGATGGCGATGGCAGGGATGAGAATAAACAAGATCTCCTTCCTGGGGCTCTCCGGAGAATCTGCAGAAAGGAGGACAATAGAGGGTTCTCTGATGTGTGATTGTTGGAGCTATATATTGATTTATGTTACGCAATGGTCACATTTATTTTCTTGCTGATTTTGTTCATATTAAATGTATCAATGTTTATTATAAGTAATTGTTTATGCTTTTATTTTTTATGTAGTTTTGGGCACCTGGTGTTACTATAGGTAAGGCTGTAGGACAAGAAAAGGGAAATCGTTCAATGTTCTTTATACACTATGTTGGATTGTTGGATCATGGAAATACATTTACAGAAAGGTTATTCTTGGCTGAACTTGGATTATTTCCCCTGCGTAAGATTGGTTTGATTTTGTTTTTAGTTCATCTTCTGTTTTATTTCTTTACGATTTTCGCTACTACAGTGATGCTTGTATGATACTTGGTGTGCCTGTACCTGAGGGACATCTACAGTCTACTCTCATTGGTCAGAAATGTTTACGGTCAGTTGCTGCAGTGACTGTTAGGTAAAAGTAACTCAGGTGCTCATTTAGACACGAGACTGACACGTTAAAGTTAATACATGTAAATAAGAGCTTAATCTCTGAAACTTGGCTTTCTATCCTATTGCAACAATACACTGAATGGTTGCCATATGACACTTAAATGAGAGAGGCACACATGTGGCCTACTGAACAAAAACGAGTTGGTATGTCAACACTGAACCAATCATTTTCACTGTTTTTGTCCTTTATTAGGACAGTATTCTTCATCAAAATGTTCCTTAATTTAAAACAACCTGATAATGTTAAGTAACTATGAGTATATTATACATATTTTTTCTTATTTTGCTTTCATTATCTGTGTGAAACACCTGAATTTCCCTATGGAGATCAATAGAGGTCCATCTTATCTTATTTCATGCATCACACTTACTGCAGGGCTCGATGTCGCACAGGTCCACCCTGACCTGGGGGTCCAGGGTGAAGCACCACGGCGCCTGCATGCCCCCCCCCGGGTTACGGCAGAAGTTGTGACTCCCCCAGAGTTCAGGGTGCTCCTGGGAGAGGTGGTGGCTGTGAGGGTACTGAGCGCTCCACGGCTGGCAGTGATGACCCGACTTCGTGACGCTGACCGTGCCTCTGTACTCGTCTCCACTGCCGTTATAGCAGCTGTGGTCTGTGGGGTTATCTGACAGGGGGTATTAAGTAGGGATGCTAGTGATTATTCGATTATTCGAATATTCGCTACAGTCTCCATAATCGAATATTATTTTTAAAAATCG